ACGAAATTCAAATGTAGTTCAGGTTGAATGAATAAATATCTAAATAAATCTGAAAAAAAAAAAGTACAGTGAATAGACCTGATGTCATATATATATATATATATATATATATATATATATATATATATATATATATATATCAACTGGACACCGTTGAGTGATAGGCTAATTCTATAAACAGAAGCCACGTGTATTAATGCAAAGCTCTTTTGTAAAATGAATTTGAACACTCCGGCTGATTGGCATTTGTTTACATTCGTAAAAACAATACGCTAGATTTAGTTGTTTGTCTCTGTTGAATGAAGATAGCTCAGTGGTATAAACTCTGACTGATACCAAAATCGGTTGGGTTTGGATTGAGGCATTCGGATGTCTAGTGGCACTGATGAGCTGTGACACAGCGAAACAGTACTGTCTGAGAATGACATATATGTATTATCAAAAGCTGATAACGTTTGGACCTAGAAGCCATTTTCTGGGAGAAAGTTGAAAGTAATTAATCTATATAGACTCTAAGATGGAAATCCCAAAATACCTTCTTAATATCGAGAAAATAAGTTGAAAACTTTGATGGTTATTTAGCAAATGCTCAGCTATCGCCAACCTAGATGTAATGACGTACTTATGAAAGTTTTCCAAATATCCATTCTGAATATTGGAGGGTATATGTCGATTCATTTTTAATTCCAGCCACTGATAAGTCTCAACTATATAGTTAACGTCATACTAACATTTAAAATTTAAAATGTTCTTAAATCATTTTGACAATAATGACACTAAGATGCAAGGGGGTACTGGAAGTGAAAGAGAATGAAAAAACTGTAGAAGAAACCAGGAACCCAATCCTAAACAGGAAACAAGGGGAAAATCTCTACTCCTCTATTCACCCCAAGCAAGGTGATAATACCACTAAGATGCAAGGGGCTACTGGGAGTGAAAGAAAATGGCTGTGAACTCATTAACAGCTTCCTACAACAAATAGTTAGATTCAAGAAATATATTCAAAAGAAAACAAATCTTTACCGTCGTGCGGAATTACGAAAAAGAAACATTTCACTAAACAAAACTATGAACTACATATGAACAAAATCAAAAAGACTGATTGCAAAAAGTCCTATACCGTCTTTAAAACCGCTTGAAAGAAAGCTTTCATAATAAGCTTTTATATATATATATATATATATATATATATATATATATATATATATATATATATATATATATAGTAATGACACAATATGGTAAACCGTATGGAATTTCCAGGGGGGATATAGATCAAGGGAGAACTCTATGTCAAAAGACAGAGCAAAATTATTATTAATTAAAGAATATCAAACACTTAAAATACCACAGGCAATAATTTTTATTTCATAAGAACTCTAAAAAACAGAAGCTCTCAATCTGAAAAACTTTAATCTTAATGTTTTTACAAGTGTATTTTACACAACAGCTCTTATTTCCTCCTCGAAATGTGCCTAATAAATCGAAATTTTCTAATCAGAATTGATTCCATTTTGCAATTTTCAGTTGAGCTCCGTTTTTGTGTTCTTTTCATGATATACTAAGTATAACAAAAACCTGATTATACTCTTGTGTTTTGTCAAGCCTTATCACTTATCTTGTTTTTGTCAAAGTCAAGCTTTCGGCATCGTAGAACAACGCTTATTTTCAAATTGTTTTCAAGATTCGAAATTTATACTCTTTCCATTTTGTTTAGCGCATCCTAAGTTTGTTCAATTCCGATTTCTCGTTTCTTTTTCACACAAAGGTAATTGAAGCCATCTACTTTCTTCTGGTGGATTCTATAACATATGCCCTTTAAATTTACATGAAATAATCTAATGTGATTCTCATCGACCCACTACGGTCATAGAGTCACTGTCAACTTTATGACCCTTTTGTTGGCTGTGTAGCATTTGCTTCGCCATGGATTTGAATTCAAACTTTTCCTTCTCTTAATCTGCTTGCCAACTTGGAAGCCCAGTCTTTCCTGCAATTATCTTAACCTATAGCTGGTTAGTGGGGGTGCATGAAGAGATGGATTCAGACTTTACCAAAGAGTATTTGCGTGAACATGAATATAACAGACTCGACCGGAATTCGAACTCTGCTTACCGATTTCTTGTTCTGATCCACTAAGCATTGCACTGCCTCTACATCTATGGAATAATAATGAATAATAAAAAGCAACAATGATGTGTTTATTATTATGAATTTTTGATCTTACAGAACTGAATATGCAGCGTTCTTGACAATTTAAGAAATACATAACAATGATTTTACTGTTGGCAATATCAAGAGTAAATATAATCATATGAGAAATATACAACAGTTTTATTAATAATAAATACGTTATCGATGAGAATCAAAAAAAAAAAAAAAGGAAGAAGAATTTGTTTTTCCATGGACTTCCTTCGTCTATTTTATGAGGTTGTGGTCAGCATTACTTACTAATAATCATTTGCAAGCCGAGTTTGTCATGTTTCAATTGGCTTATAAAGTTATATATAATAAAAGACTATTCTTTCTTTTTCTTTTTTCTTGATATTTTACGAGGCGTTCTAGAACGGGAAAAACGGAACCTCGCGCTGAATCATTCATACTCCAGGAATAGGTAACATCGATTTAGCCTGCCAAGGCATTTTTGATTGGACCGCAAGCAAATATTGAAATATTATGTTTATCCTGTCCTTGAAGGACTTTTCACTTCTGAGTGCTTCAGACGACTACGCTGATGAATCAGATATATCGTCCTGGCCTGAGGATCTATTCCGTTACACTACCCAAAGTTTTCATTTTATCTGAAGACAAAATAATGCTAAATGCATTGATTTCTTGATTCTCTGCATTAAAAATCGGTATTAGATTTTTTTTAAACTTATACTTCATTAATTACCGTTCATTGCGCTATGATCAAACTTTTTATATTTAAAGTTACTTTGTGTCTTTTTACTAGTTTCAAAATATATCTTGATTGAAATAAATTGTAAGATCTGATTATTGCTATATGCGTAGATTTTTCATTTATTTTAGGCAAAATTGAATGTATTTGGAAGGAATAATTTCCATATTTAAAGCTTTCTACAGAATTCATCTGGCCTGTTGGAGAAAAGGAAACTAAATATAGAACTGGTTCCGCTATGAGTACTTTTATCCAACACCGTAAAATGTTACAAAACCAAAATATAAAGTTCGTAGGTGTGTGTGTGTGTGTGTGTGTGTGTGTAGATAGGATGAGAAGCAAATGGGAAACATTTATAAATTTTACATGTTTCGATTTCATTGAGCTTCATCCGAAAATTTCACATTTTCTGATAAGGCTTTAATAAAAGAGAAACATGCTAATTTTATGAACGTTTCTTATTTGTTCCGTATCCTATCATTCTGTCAGATTCCAAAACTATATTTAGTCTTACTTCATATATATATATATATATATATATATATATATATATATATATATAATATTAGTGGTCAATATATACATATTTCCAAGAGGATAAAATCCAGGTAGAGCTCTATGTACAAGACAGAGCAAGAATATAATATAATATATATATATATATATATATATATATATATATATATATATATATATATATATATATATATATATATATATATATATATATATATAGGTATGCAGAGAGAGAGAGAGAGAGAGAGGAGATAGAATTTGAAAATATGCATTTAATTCGAGAGAATGATTAAATAAGTAGGAACATCTTTATAAATTTAATGTTTCGTTATTTATTTAGGTTTCAAAATGTCTGATGAAGCGAAAGAACGAAATGTTAGATTTATAAAGAATTTCGTACTTATTCCTGAGGTAATTATATATGTGTGTTTGTATATATATGCGTGTGTGTGTGTATGTGTGTGTATTTTTCACTTGTGATTACATCAGCTATGCACTTTTGCTGTTTCTGCTGTTGGAAATCTTCAAATAATGAGATTTTAGTTATTTAGTAAAGCCTTTTGTTATTTTGTAACACTAGTCTATCAAGTACAATGAAATATTTCCTTCTATTTAAGTATTTATTCGTTTGAAACCATTTTTAATTATTAATATAAGAAAGTGGTTGTATTGTTCATAGTTTAGACCTTTGTAAACAAGTCGGATGTTACGTATAAATCTGATGTGGTTTTTTAAGAATATTTAGATTTTTTTAAAAAATACTCACAGTATTTCATATTGTTGAAGTTATCGCTAACATTTTTTTTGAGATTTACAAACTCTACGTTTCGTTCAATTTTGCAAACCAATCGATGACATTTGAATAAGTTGATTTGTTTGGAAAAAATACTTTGACAAAAACCCTACTTCGCAATTTACTAATTTCTTTAATTTAATTTAATTTTATAGGACTCCATGGTAAACAGTATTTTTTAAGAAAATTTCTTTCTTCTTTTTTTAATAACGAAGAATAAATTCTTAGGATTTCTTACTCTTGAGCATGTAACATACATGTAACATACATTTAGGCTATGCCTAAATATTTATCTCTCGAGCCAAATTCCAACCTTTTGAAATAAATAAATCACAAGCCTTGTAATTTATTTATAGTTCTCGCAAACGCAAGGCGAACTGGAAACTGTATTTTTGTATATATAAAAACTTAAAGAAAGATAAGCAAAAAAACAATATTGCATTTTTATTAAATAAGTATTTGTTATTTTAATCATTAAATTGTTTTTAAAATATTGGGAGATTTTTGTATGATAAATAATAAAACTTTTAATTTAAAAAAAAAAAAGTGAATGAAAATTTATTGTACTAAACTATGCACCCCAGTAAAACCGACTGTACTTTGTATCCCCTTACTGTTTCAATCTGCTAATGTATAGCTATTTTAAAAGGTGTCACGACCGACGAACGGAAGTCACAGAATTTTATATATATATATATATATAGCACTCGAGTTTTCCGATTAATATTTTGTGTGTGATGGACGCGAGAAAGGAAAGGAGAATGTACGCGGGATTAGAGAGGAAATGTATTAGAGAATAAGAAGAGAAAATAGAGAAAATACAGGAAGATAGATAGATAGAAAGAGAGAGAGAGGGAGAGAGATAGAGGGAGAGAACCAGAGAGCATTGTCGAGGGAGGAAGAATAAGAAAGACAGTAGAATAAAAAACGAGAACAGAAGAAGAAAAAAGAGACTAAACGAAAGAGTGTGAAGTAAAGAGAGGAAGAGAGAGAAGGAACGTGAGAAGATTATCGAGGGAGGAAGGATGAGAGGGAGAGTAACAGAGGAAAAGAGATACTAAGAAAGGCAACAGGAAAAGAAAGAAGGAGAGGTGAGTAGGTAGAAAAAAAAAGAGAGAATGGGAGAAAAAGATGAAAAGGAAAGAAGATTGGAGACGCAAGAAACTGGCAGAGCTAAAAGAAAAAGAATGGACGAAGAGAACAAAAAATGGATACAAAAATAAAAAAAGAGTTGGAGAAAAATAGAACGAGGGATTAGAAATGAAAGCGTGAAAGAGAGAAAAGACGAAAAGAGGAAGAAGTAGGAAAATTGATGGTGAAAACGAGAGATAGAGAGGAAGGTGTAGTAAGAAAACGAGAGAGGGAATGAGAGAGAGGACGAGACTAAGAAGATATTGAGGAAGAGAGAATGCTAGAAAGGGAAAGAGGGAGGAAAAGAGATAAAGGCTGTAAATATAAACATCTCCGACATCATCGTTAACAGGTGAACCATCTGAAAAGCAATATGGCAACAGGAGACATACAGTCAACACAGTGTCATCGATAATGCGTTAACAACATATGAGAAGCTTATTTATACAAATAAAATCTAAAGTGTCTGTGTGAATGATTAAAACAAGACTTTTAAACAAACAAAAAGTGTGTGTGTGCGCCCGCAAGTGTTTGTGTGTGTGTGTGTGTGTGTGTGTGTGTGTGTGAGAGAGAGAGAGAGAGAGAGAGAGAGAGAAAGAGAGATAGAGAGTTTGGAAGGCTCTTTACGTAGTTCTATGTTCATCAAAATCTGACAAGCCGGTCACCGTAAGTTCGACCTTCGGTTGCTGTCAAACTTGGACCCACATAAAAGTTATGTTTTCGAATGTTGCTTTTCAAGGGAACAACAAACTCGAATTTATCCTTCAAGGTACTCAACTTGTTTAAATACCCCAATACCGTCTATATGCATACATACATATACTTGTATGTGTGTGCATTTATGGTACACCAAACGCACACACACATACATGTATATGTATGTATGCGTGAATGTATATATATATGTATGTATGCATGCATGTATATATATGTGTGTATCTGAAGATTATATCGAAGTGTGAAACTGAGTCATCTTATATATGCTAACATAGTGAGGTGATGCTGAAATGATTCTCTCCACAAATTTCTGTCATATATATATATATATATATATATATACATATATATATATGAGAACGAATCGAATATAAATTCCGACGTTCGTAACATTAATTTAAAAGAGGGCTCAGTTCAATACAATAGCAGAGCAATATTCTTGATGTAATATCCTAAAATAATATATATATATATATATATATATATATATATATATATATATATATATATATATGTATGTATGTATATATATGGCAAAACGATAGATAATTTTGTTATATATTAAGAACAAGGGAAATGAGTATGATGAAAAATGCGGAAAAATTTGAGTATGAGTATGATGAAAAAAAAGTGTAAAAGTTTTCATGTATCGCGTTATATATATATATATATATATATATATATATATATATATATATATATATATTTGGGTGTGAATCTGAGAATAGTGCAGATGATTCAGTTGTATGAATCTAATGGTGATTACGGAGGTGTTTGGAGTGATCACTAGTGATGGCGACGTTAGGCCTTCATTCTTCTACCCACAGGGCCTCAGACGGAGGCCTATATCAAGTACCTTGAGGAAGTAGTGATGCACTTAGTCAAGAGATGGCTGCTGGACTTTGCCTAAGCTACACTAGCAGGAGAACCCAGTCAGACAATTTCTGCGATCGCATCACCCCTAACATCTGACCACCATATTGCCCCAGTTGAGCGAGTGACCAACAAAATCCCGTGTAACACCAAAGAGGAACTGAAGGCAAGAATTATGGGAGACCAAGTTAAACACGGAGACCATCCAGAAAAGTTGCAGGAAATTCTGAAGTCGTCTGGAAGCCGTGGTTAAAGCCAATGGCGATTTTATTGAATAAATTTACTCTTTAGTATTTCAAGATATGCTTGTGTAATTTTGGTAAATATATCTGTTAAAATGAGATGTCAGTGTTATTTTCATTTCTGCGTAATTTAGATGACAATTTATCCATCGTACCCTGTAGATGTGCGTGTGTGTGTGTGTGTCATCTCAGTGGCGCCTAGAATACGTCGATTGCATACACGACTGAGGGGTAAGACCTCGACAAAAGAAACCACCTTCCGGGTTGATGCTTTTAGACTCAAGTATCAACTCAAGCAATGTTTACACATCCACTCTGATATAAACACAACGAATGCTTACCTAGAGATTCAAATATAAGCCCGACCAATTTTGCATCTACACTCTGTAATAAAAACAGATTAAATAACAAACAAGGGCGGATATTTCCCCATATACAACAACCCAGACCTAACTTCATATCCATCTGTCAATATATATATATATATATATATATATATATAAGCGAACATTGAAGTCAACACTCAAAACGATTGCGTCTAGCATGAAACAGCCTATTTATAGGGGCGCTGAAAACCCTCTGAGTGTTGACTTCAATGTTCACTTTTATATTTATATTTACATACGATCTATATCTGATATTGAGTACTTCATTCCATAAATATAGCATACCTTGAAACTATATTTCTTCATATATATATATATATCGTACATGTTAATAAAACAGTGCTCGATATATTATAACAGTGCTATTAAGTATATATTAATGAAGATTGCATTGTGCCTGAAACTCAGAGTCGTGCTACCGGTGAGGAATATATATATATATAAGTGTGTGTGTCTGTGTTATTTTTGTTGCTATATTTATACAGGAAGAAATTTGAATATCAGTTGAATAGACAGTATGAACACGGGAATCAACGCTGCATAGGGACTGTCGGTGTCATACCTCAATGCTTTCATCAGACCAAGTCTCTTTTATATTTTATAAATATTATAGATTTTGGAAGTAAATGAAGGCACTGAAAATTTAAAATAATCAAAGTATTAAGCTATAGAGGAAAATGTAGCTAAAAACAAAGAAAAGAGTGTTGAACTGCTATATAATATTTATCTTCTGGGATGACAGTGAATGCTAGACAATTTCCTAACAAATAAAGAGGAGACTCGAGACAACAGAGGTATGCTACTACAGAAGGATGCTGAGAATATCATGAATAAAGCATGTGAGCAACAAGGATTTTTAAGGAAAATGGAAAGAGAAGGGCAATTATACATAAAAACAGAAATAGTTGAAATTTCTGACACATAATGAGGAAAGAAGGTTTGTAGTATTTAACACTCACAAGACATACTGAAGGGCAAAGGGAAATAACAAGTAACCTGCCCAATTCTCTTGTGTAAATAGATGGCAGAACAGAGAGGGGGTAGTAAAAAAGACATTGCTAACAGTTATACATGTTAGGAAGTTGTCGAGGGCCATGATTTTCCACGTCCCGACGGGATATGGCATATAGAAAACGGTGATAATCTACATAGGGAAGGGATGATAGGAAAATTACGACAAAGATAAAGAGAGATTACAAGTATTATTAAAAGATTAGTAAGTGTGAAGATCCTTTAACGCCTATGTTCTTAAGAGACATGACAGATAGCGAAAGAATAAGTTGGTTGATTTTATATGCTAACTCTTGTTGGTTTATTTAATATTGATTATTTGTATAGTGCAACCAATGAGAAACAAACTCTTGACTAAAGAACATCGAGGTGAGCCTCGGTGTCTATTATACCAGGATGAAACATCACATAGAGATGGGTTACGTGAATAGAAAATCAAAGTTTTAAAGTTGAATTGGCGTATTATACTCATGTTACATTGAGTGAGTGAATAGTGTAACAGTGTAACGGTTGGAGACTCGGAAAACAATATCAGTGAACCGAATTCAAATTCTGAACAGAGATTTTTACGCCCTCTTTCACAATAGGAATGAATCCATCACATTTCTTAACAGGTATATGTTAAATGACAAAACGGACTAGGCGCTCTAACCGTGATTGGCAACCAGTTTAGGAGAAATAAAACTTTGAATTACAAACCCGTCAGATTATTATATTGCCTGGGGTACAAAACTGTTGCTTTGGCTGCAATATACATAGCGTTCTCAAGACCCCCAACGGAATACGGGACTATCAAGACCCCAAAGGAATACGGGACTCAAGGCCCCAAAGGAATACGAGATTCAAGACTGATAACGTGATTCACGGCCTTGCTTTAAAAAGAAATCAATTTGTTCATTTTGAAAGGAAATTTTAAAGTTTGAAAAATAATTTTTCTTGTATTTTCGAAGTACAAAAAAAAAAATCTATTTAATATTTTGCGGTCAGAAATGATTTATAAAATGGAAATAAAAACTAAAAATTAGCTTCTTTTCATAAAGATGCAGAAAATTAACATCAACTTTAGCATCGGACGTTTTCTGTTCTCAACTCTTTTAAAATCGGACATAACAAAGGCTTTTAAAAATATATATACACACATTATTATCAGGATATAGCTTCAATGTCCACATACACAAATACAAGTGTGTGTGTGTGTGTATTTATGTGTATGTTCAAAATAATTTAAAATGGAATACAAAATCCAATAAAGTTTACAATTTTAGACTCTTTGTGTGTGTGCGTGTGTATGTGTGTGTGTATGTGTGTACATATAAATAGATCTATATATAAAACTCATATTGAAGTTTATCTTAAATGAACGTCGAAAGAAGGTGTGATTTAAGAAGCAAATATATAGACATAAGAATTAAGGAGGGAATAACGTGCTAATTTTAGTCATGTTTCCCTCGAAGCTTATATAAAGAATGCTGTTATTATCATTGAGTGAGGGTTTATATTTATAGGGGCGCTGAAAAGCCTCGGTTGAAACCATTTCCCAAAATCTAAACAATGACTAAATATTAGAACATTTTTTTTTTTTTTGCGAAAGGATTCCTTTTTGGTGAGGCTGAGAACTTTACAGCATTTCATCGTATGCATACATGCACAGGATACAAGTTCGAAGTTACTTTTTTTGATCAATATCGATCTAATTATTTTCACACATATAGGTAGATATAGTTGTATATCTGTATAGCTATATCTGCGTGTGTGTGTGTGTGTGTGTGTGTGTGTACATTTCCCAATATGTTACGTATTTGAAGTAAATAAATATATTTGGAAATAAATGATGAAAACATGTAAATTACGATACCAATTGTTTCCGTGCTTATATACGTGTAAATTACAATTATGCGTAAATAAGCGTGGCTTAAAAGCAACCCAAAAGATTAAAAATTTTATGAAATGCATATAAAAACAAAATGAAATAATCGAAAAGAGACGGATTTTTAGAATGAGATGATATTTTATATATATATATATATATATATATATATATATATATATATATATATATATATATATATATTTTTTTTTTTTTGCAACAATGTTTTATTATTATATGTCTAATAGCCTTCGCTATAATTGTACAGTTTGTGAGTTTTTGGGTAAATATAACAATTTGTACAACAATTAATGTAAACTTTTGCACACGCACACACACACACACACACAAACGCGCGCGTGCGCACAGTCACTGACATCCATATGCACATATCCAAGCAGATACAAGATATAAGTATGTATATATTACATCTTTTTGACCAACCTTTTGTGTGCTGCCATTTATCGCAGTTTATACAACCTCGATATTGTGTGTGCCATTATATAACTCATTTTTTAAGGGATGACAATTTCTTTTTTAGCATACCATTGTACACCATTAGTCCACAGGCGTTAACGAGTTCACTTCGTTTAAATTAATCAAAGAATGTTGATAGGGTCCACTTATCGTTCGGGATATGCCTATTGGCATACCATTCATTTCAGGTAAGGTTTTAGTTGGGTAAGACTGTGTCCTCCTTAATCCGGGTACGGGGTTTGAACCCTGGCCAAATTCGTTTGGCAGTATGGCACCGGAAGTAATGCAACGTTTCTGAAGTAGAGAGAGTCGAAGAGCAGAAGATGACCGCTTGGTCACTGACCGAACACTGCCGCGACGACGATCCCTGTAACAAAACTCCTGCACTTTCCGGCGCGTGTACCGATAGAACGATGCACGGAGGATTTTGTTTCTGACGCCGTACACAGCCGCGTTGGTCAGCGGAGCGGCTTGAAAAAGCGTTGTCACCAAAACAACGGCAACCCGCTCTAAGGGGATGTCAAACGTCATCCGTAACAGAAGTATCACTGAGAAAGGTAAATAAGTTATGGCAAAGGCGCCCATTAATTGTAAAATGGTCGATATGGCTTTTGTGCCCTTAATAGATAGGGCTGTTTGAGGGGCTGATGAAATGGGGGCTTGGATAACGCTGACCATTCGTACCATAGTAGCCGCTATCCGGCTACTTTGGTTACGAGCTATTCGAAAAATGTGCATGTAACAATAGGTTATCAAGATAAATGGTAGAAAGAAAGCCAATGCAATATAAATAATCGTGTACCACATTCCACGTGTATTTCTAAAATCGATGATGCATATTGCCATGTCTTTATCGAAGACGAATTGATTGGCCCCAAAAAGTGGGGGGATGGAAAAGGAAACGGCTCCTAGCCAAAAAACAACAAAACAAGCGGTCATTTTGCCGAAACTGGCCGTTAAGGAATGATGTAAAGGTGAAGCAATAGTTCGATACTTATCCCAACTGAGGGCTGTGATCGTCCACACTGACACAAAAGTAAAGACAGAGAGGATAAATCCATAAGCATGGCATACGACCCGTCCTCCAAGCCATACACCGTGAAATATAACAATTGCAGCTGTAAGAGTTAAGGTCACTGAAGAAACCAAACCGACTACGCCGAGATGGACAAGAAGAATATTGCGTACTGTCCGTAATCTTCGGTTTGGAACAATCGCTATAATCATAAATACGTTTAGTAGGACACCCATGGTGCCGAATATCACAAGACATATACCCCGGGCTGCGTAGGCCCTTTCCGGGTTCCAGATTGCGTACGGGTCAAGATCCACAAGTCCGGATGTTGTTCCTCCGTCGACAGGTCCAATCCCCGCACGGGAATTGTCCACAATGGTGCCACCATCGACACCACGCGTAGCACCAGCAGCCGCTACTCCAAGACCTGCAAGTCCAACTACCCCACCACTCGATACCGGACCCCCTACCGACGGTGCCGTCGCTGAACCAGCTGTAGCAGTGTCACCCGAGGTACTTGCCGCAGTGTTGGTGGGGGTTGTTGTAGTCGTTGCCGTAAGAGGGAGCATGGCGGTGGCGCTTAGCAGGCCACCGACACGGCCAGTGGTCACAGACCCTACACCGCCGTCGCTGACATTTTCGATTGTCCGAAGTCCGATTCCGGTGGTATTCTGACAGCTAGTAATCGGACAATCGCAGCGTTCTCGCAAACCTTGATCACCTTGGTCGGCGCCTCCTCCTACAGAGTCCGCGACAGTGACAGTGGGTGAGAACCACCGGCCTGCCCTAGCAGGGCTGCCACTTTTTCTGTAACCACCGCTACCTCCCGTTGCTGCTCCTCCTCCGTTTGCAGTTTGTGCACTGGTTCCGGCCGAGAATGTGGAAGCTGTAAACACCGCCTTGTGAGATCCAGTAACAGTGATAGTCGTAGTGATTGTCGTGGTGGCAGTTGTTGAGGGTGGGGAGATGATGGCAGAGACGAATTTGCCGACAAACATCCCTTATCGCCCCTCCCCTAAATTCTGTTTATTTTTTGTTGTTTTTTTTTGTTTTTGTTTTTGTTTTGTTTTGTTTTGTTGTCAATCTCGCTCTGTTTGTTCCTCGGCAATTCTTTCTCCCACTTGCTAACAACTGACAGCAAGCGCTGCTGGAATAGGATCTTCCTATCTGCCAGTTTTTTTTCCCTCACTCCCGGTTAGTGGTCCTCATACTAGTAGGGGTGAGGCTTTGTTGTGGGCGATACAGTAAGAGTGATACTAGCTGCTGTTGTGCTTGTAATAAAAAAAATATTATGTGTAACACATGGTTGACCATTACTTAACACTTGAATCGGGATTTCATCTGTGTTGTTTAGCAGCCAGCAATTTTCTTGAGATAGACTGACCGACAGTAGAGGGGACACATGTTTTACTCTTTCCTTGTGAACGCAACCGTAAATACTAACTATAAATATTGGTATTTGTTTTTGTCGTTATTATTAGGAGTAATACTAGCTGTTGACTTGTACAACAGATTTTACAAGTACAGGGCGAATAGCCCCCAAAAAGTTTTCCTAGTTTAATATCGTTTTTCTTGTTTGGTGCGTTAAAATTGACAGCGAACCATCTGTAGAACATCGAGTTCGGAACCAAGTGGAACTCTGCTGGAAAATGCACACTGTAGTTATTGTTGATGTAGTAATTGCAAAAGAATTTGTTCGACGAGTTGTAGCCATCGTAATGATTGTATTCGTCAAGGTAGTAGTAGTAGTAAGAGTAATAGGGACAATCGTAATAGCAGTAGTACTTACTGTTATATAGCAGTTTCAATAGAATTACAATAATTTGTTTATATTGTAAGAGTATTTGAAAAGTTTTCTTTTAAGTGTTGGATTGACTGTCGAATGAACAAGATCTCATCCTTAATATCTGATTTTTGCCCCGCTTTGAATAATGAAGTTTGACAAGACTTAACACTTGTATGCCATAGTTCAGTGTTCTGCCCCTAATCCATATATATATACGTAAATGATCCCTTTGATAGCTGCAGATTTTCCTGTGTTTTTAAAGTTCCCCGTGATTGCAGAAAAGGAGGACTTTTGGATCAATTCATGATACATTTTCCCCTGGCGATCGTGTGGTAATGATCCTCATTAACACGGCATGGGACTGTACATTTTCTTCATTCATTGTAACAACAGTATGTAGTAACGACAGTCGAGTCCGATGTTAAAATGAATACAATGTTAGTGCCAATAAAAAAAAAAAAAAAAAAAAACTGTCAACACTGTAGGATCGGGAGTAAGAAAATGGACCACTCAAGACTTTTTGCCCTGGTAGATTTCTTTGAGGAGAATGCGAAATCTTAACCACCCACTGCCTGAGATAGCCACCTGAGTAATACCCGAAAATCCCTGTGAGTTGTCAATCTCTAGCAGGCAGCTGTTGTTGGTGTTACTTGTAGCGGTAGTAGAATCATTTCCAGCAGTTGTTGTTGTTGTTGTTGTTTACTATGTTTAGATTAGTTTGGCACAAGGTCACAAATATGCAGCGATGTTATATATTAAATATTAGTGATGATCAAAGACAGTACTCACTAATTATTATTCGACTCTGCCAGCTCGCTAACAATGAAGCCAAGCCGAGTCGGCTTCTATTTCCAGCTGTTGTTATTAATTTTCTTTAGAATCTTATTTTTCATTTACATTTTTATTAATGCTGGGCTGGTTTCTCTGCGAGAGTTCTATTGACGTAGATGTTGGTCGATTTTTTTTTAAAAAGATATTCTGAAATATCATTTCTATTCGCGTCCCTCTTTGCGAACTTGACAACGATGACTGCTACAAACGCGGTAAAAAGTTTTCCTTTCTTAAGGAACTTCCATATTTTTTCATTCGCAACATTGACGGCTATATTCACTTGTATTTCAATGAAGGTTGACTTGTTTCAAATCAAATAGAAACGTGGTGAGAGAGAGAGAGAGAGAGAGAGAGAGAGAGAGAGATCACGGGAGGGGCATATATAGGCGAGTTAAAACTAGTCAGTTCCTTGACCAATTTTATAATTATTAAAAAGTTCAAGTGAGTGAGAATAATGGTTGAAAAAAATTCCGATATGTTTTTTTTTTTATATATATATATAAATCTACATTGGTTGTCTGTTTTGAGAAATACGAGACTGATCGCAAATCATAAAGGGTACAGATTATGGCGCGAGGTTGTTAGTTTCTTTCAACTTCAATATATCGTGATCATCTGTATAAACACTGAAAGAAATGTAAATATTCTTATTCCACTTAAAAACACTTTTTTTAATGCATCACTTCATTTAAGACTTTCTGCTAATTTACCTTAAATGTTAAACTTCTCGTGAAAACATGTTCCTCAGTTTGTGACATTGACAAGATAGCATCCGTTTAAGTGTTTTAGACGCTAGTGTAGATGTTGTGGGTGCAGATATATATTAAAAAAAAACTTACGTTTTAAAAAGGGTATATTTGAAATCCAATTTGGGAATCTATTCTTTAAAAAAAAAGTTCAGGTTTGTTATATATATTATGCAATAAAATTGATTTCCTTATTTAATCCGAAATTCTACACATGAAAAATGCTGCTTTATCATCGGTCGTTCCATAGAAAAATATTTTCAGGCTAAAACACTCTACTGCAGCATCTCCATCACAATTCCCTCCCCAGCAGATGTTGTTGCTATCCGAGTTACTCTAACAAAATGTTTTGTTTAGTTTTTGTTGGCAAACTCGTCCATTTTCTCCAACTTGTTTGGAAGAATATTAATCAACATATAACGGTAATCTTGCTATTTCTGCGAGCTTCTGCAATCGTTGCGAAATATATCGAAGCTGTTAATCCAAGTGCTTAGACAGAAAAGTGGGATTATAAATTTTCTTCTCCGTCATGGCCCCGACAACTGCGGGAACCACAGTTACAGCTGTCACAGCGACTACTACTACAAACTGGAGTAGCAGTTCTCGCGATGCGATTGTTTGGGTCACGCACGTGTTCTCCCTTTCGACACGCTAGTTCGATCTCTGTTGATTTGATGATGAGCAAACGTCACCTGTCTTTTTAACGCAGATTTTATAAGCGTAGAACTGACACATTTCATGAACAATCTCTCATCTAAATTTTTAAATTTCTAAATTTCGTACAATTCTTTAAATTCTAAAACATTTTTAATTTTTGTCCTTTCAGAAGATTTTTTTTAACGCGAGTCAATGGTTGATTCGGGCTTTTTGTTATTATCCCTTTTATACTGGACTTGTTAAAGTTGGAGGTTACAAAAAATACAATATTGAACTGTAAGATGTCCAGAGAAGGAGGCAGGGATTGGTGTGTGGCTCATCCTGTAATAATGTTGTTGGTTTGACAAAAGCGGTTACAAATATTGTTGATTCGAGTTTAGTATTCTGTAGGCCATGTAAACTCGACTTGTTTTGATTCGTAATGTGAGCGCACTCACATTTTTTGACACACTTGCGGTATAAGGTCAAGGGTTTTAAGGGAAAGATATTCTGGTATGAGTTGCTACCAGAGTGATGACATCTCAGTTTTAGGCAAAGAATCCTTCTTTCTCAAAATAAATAAAATAAAGATGTAAGAATTACGATAATTTCTCGTTTAAAATATTTATCTTTTTTCTTGGGCACTCCTCTATCGGTCGGATTTTAACGAATGAACTCTTATCTCTTTCTAAGGGTGCGGTAACCCTTCCTTCCTTCCTTCCTTGTCTGCGACGGAAATGCGTTGGAGTACATAACCGTATTGTCTAAAGTCAGTATCGGATTTTCTTGACTTATTTTCTTATCTCTTTCTGTCACTTTTTATGCATATATATATATATATATATATATATATATATATATATATATATATATATATATATATATATAGTGTGTGTGTACACGTATATGTGTGTGTATATGTATAAACGTTTAAAACGAGGATAAAATAATAATAGTGTAACTGACAGGCTGATTTTCAGGTGTTATATATATATATATATATATATATATATATATATATATATATATAATACAAATGGCCAAAAATCAGAGGAAAGTAGGTGTTAACCAATTCTTTATTATTATTTTTTGTCATAATATCGCATATAATAAAAAAATCTTTCGTAAAGCGGTTTACCAAAAAGTCCGATTCTCAGAACGAAAATTCTAACCAAACCCATAGTTCCAGTTTCATGTGGAAGTACCGATATTTGGTAAAGGATAACGAAATATGTGTGCAAAATCACGAATTTCACGTCAAAAAAATCTTTCAAAATTATAGAACTGCGGCCACAAACTTCTGTACTATCTACGGCCAATCTTTTTCCATTAGGAGGTGTGGATCGATCTAAACTAACTGGACGACATGAAAAGCTTCGATCTTGCCCCATTCATTTCCATCATAGCTACGAGGTGTCTTCCAGGGGTACAGTTGCACTTGAGCAGAAGACGTGTGAGTGGAAAGAGAGAACGTAAAACCGCTGAAACAACAAGACAGTCATAATGCATAGTAAAATACCAACCCGTTTATTCTTTGTACCGAGCGAAAGAAATGACCCCTTATTTTGAAAATACGCAACAGTACTGCATAGTAAGAAGACGCGTAGAATTAGGATCTTAACCTCGAATGAACGTGGCTTTGTCACTTACTGTATATCCTCGAATTAAAGAGCGTTCTTGTTTTTTTGTTTGTCAGCCTTAATTTAGTCTTCCATTTATCAAAGATCACAATAAGAAGAAGACAATCTCCAACAATACTCTGCTCCATTTAACGCCTTGTCATACAAAAAGACTAATAATGTGGTTTTGTTCTATGAGAGCGGAGAATATTTTTTTTTGTCTGTTCAGTTAATGTACAGATATAATCGAACTGAAGCCGGATACTCTCTGGTTATTCCATTATCAGTTACTTCACGGGAACAATTCTCACAAAGATTAAATTTGAATAAATGCTTTGAAAACAGATTCAGAGTTAAGACAAGAAACAAAATTTTAAATA